AGTTATTGTTGTTAGAGGCCATCCATGGAGGCCACCATCGCTTGCAAGAGCGCGCACACAGGGACGTGCGGCTCCTCCTGCAGCTCTCAGACTCTGCCGAGGTCCTTCTGCACAGCCAAGGGAACCTACATCAGTGGCTCTGTAAATGTATTAAATGCAGCATTTAGTAGCATTATCTCAGCTTTTATTTATGTACGTAACAAAGAATTCCCAGCCCAGTCTGCTGGCTTCGAGTAGGAACAGAATAACAGTTTGTGGTTTATTGGGAACAGATGCACTTGGGGATGCCTTCAGGGTGCCAGTCGTTATTATTAGACTGCTAATGTGCTGCTTCTGGCTGCTGCCCAAGAAAGAAGAACAATTAGCTGGCATATGTTAATTTTTGTTTCCCTAACAAATCTCTCTACTGACTAAATGTGTAAAACAAATCCACAAAGAAAGATCAATCAATGCTGTACACATCATTTTCTCCCCATTAAAAAAAGGTTTATCTTAAGAAGTGTATTTGGGATTTGAAAAGGCAGGTGTTACTAAAGTATATACAAAAGCCGAATATTCTCTCCTTCGCCCCTCAGCAGTCACTTGATAGAGGAGTGGGGGACAATTAAAATTCGTTTTCTTGCTTGGTTGTATAGATTACTGTATAAAATGAAAAGGACCATAGATTACCTCCTATGAATATCATTTAAATATACAGTAGAAATCTTTTTATGTGCTGCCCTGCATAAAAATTTTGCTAATTGGATGCTATTTATAACAAAAGATGTGTGGTAAATATGACAGAGGTGATAGGAGTTTGGGGATAATGAAGATGGGGCCTTCCTGAAGGGAGTCATGAAGGACACACTGTGAAAGAGCTTGCAGCCATTCTCACCTTGCCTCCCCCCCCCTTTTTTTCCACCCTGACACCCACTTTCCAGGGTCCATCAGCATTAAGTGACACTGTAATCATAAATTGAAAATGATACTTCCAGAGGAATTGGCAAACTTGGCATTTCATTATATTTGTTAACACATGCCACAAATGATTGTTAGTGAGGAAATTCCATTTCCCTCTCTTCATCTCCAATCAGATTTAATTTGAAAATTTTCAGCCTCCTCCGGCTAATTTGCAATTAAGACAATTTTGTTTGAATATGTAGTAATGTCATTACCATTCCACCAAATTAGCAAGGAGAGTAAAGGTCAGTGTAAAATTTTCCAGCTGGCTGGAGCCTCTTAGCTGAGATTTGGGACTATGGGGAAAAGAAGAAGAAGAAAAAATCTGGCAGCAACAGGATAGCAACTTCCTTGAAGTTCTGTTGGTTGAGAACCCCACATCCATCATTCGGGCTGCAGTGCTTGCTTCGCTGTGGGCTAGAGTTGTTTAGCAACAGGGCAGTCAGTAGCCAGCAACTGGCTGTTATTTAAGGAACTAGACTTTCGGGGAAGCCGGCTAGAACGAGAAGGAGTTAGTCCTAAGTAACATTGCAGCAGATTAGTAGATAACCTCTAACAGCATCCTCTAATTAGAGTTCTTATGATACAATTTCATCCTGTAATTAGTTGAGATTGGCTGCTTCCTTTTGCAGCTTATTAGTGGCAACACAGCTGTAGAAGTGAATCCACTCTCATTTGTCAACCCTTTTAAAGACTTTTTCTCTTGTCTCTACCTTTTTCCTGCCCTTCTCTTGGGCCTTTGCAGCTAAATCTGGTGTCTAGTGTCACCATGTCGAAGAACATGTTGGAGACCTCCCCACAGAGCTTACCTCAAACCCCTACCACACCAACGGCCCCAGTCACCCCGATTACCCAGGGACCCTCAGTAATCACCCCAGCCAGTGTGCCCAATGTGGGAGCCATACGAAGGCGACATTCAGACAAATACAACATTCCCATGTCATCAGGTAGGCTCTGAATGCTCGGTAGAGCACTTTTACTTTGGGAGAAGAAACGGTACTGAAGCAACTGTGCAAGAGTCATTCCCGAGCCATGATTTATGGAGTGATAATTGTTTTATTCCTGGTAAATGCGGACAGGGACGATTCCCTAAGCACCTCATGATGAATTGTTCTGAATAGTTGTTCAGGAGAGAGAGCGCTCCCCATTAGAGACATTGAGAGATGTGTTGTCAGGATAGCCCATATTATCACCTCAATTCAATGAGATCCTTTGATCTCTGAGGGAAAACTATAGCAATCCA